GGGGGGGGGGGGGGAGAAAGAGAGAGAAAGAGAGAGAAGGAGAGAGAGAAAAAGAGCGCGTCGTGAGGTTCGAATGATTGATGATCCACAGTGCAAGCGAGCGAGCGAACAGCGTACTTGAAGCATCGTGCTCCGATTACGGGCTGAACAAAAGTGGTAGAATTTCAGAAAGAAAAACAGCGAAGATACGCGCAGAACACGGTATGTGTTGAGACGTTCTGTGAATCGGTTTCATAGCGCATTCACCGGTCGGGACCGGCGATATCTGTTAACGATATCATTTCCGTCGCACATATCTCATCGACTCGATGATGCAATTGTACGATGCGAGCGCTAGGATGCCCGGGAACGGAGTTTGTCCATTAACGATATTAATCATCGGCGAATGACGTTAGATGGACACGTAATCATGACCTACGCCGATAAACTATATCCATGCCGCGAAATGACGCGATTTTGCATCGTCTGGTCTGCAATTGGCGTTGAAGGTGATTTGACAACTCGTCGAAGCCGAATTCTCCCCGCGGTATGCGAGTAGCGTAAATAGAGACAACATTTTCTGAAACGAGTCCGCATCGGGACCCGCGTCTTCGATTCGGTTAGAATCCCATACTTCGGTCCGGTGTGCGGACATTTTCTATTCCGCCCGATTACAAATTCCTATCTCGCTTCGATATTCGGACGTGAGGAATAATGATGTGGAGCTCCTTTTATGAAACCGATCCGAGCCCGGCAACGCGACGACGCGTCCCCGAACTTCGGACTTTCGCGCTACTACTACCGCTGCTGCTGCTGCTGCTGCTGTCGTTCGAATAAAGTCACCGCGATTGTACCTATCCCGTTTCCATAGTAACGTCGCCGAGGACAGTGTATGGACATGGGTCGTTCGTACGTGGGTTTCCGACGTGCATTGGAAGCTGCGCTCTACTTCAAAGAAGAAATGAACGGGCGAACGATGGGGGGGAAGGTTGACGATGGTCGGTATGCTGCTGATGGGATTTTCAGGCGACACCGGGAAAGACAATTCTACTCAGTGATATAGCAGGTACTGCGCTATCGACAACTCGTCTGGTGGACTGACTGCTGCTGATGCTGCTGAATCCTCTTGTCGATTTCCATCGGGACCGGATTCTCGGCTTCCGAGCGCCAGACCGAGGGCATCGGGCTCGCGCTCTCGGAAGGGAGGGAAGGTAAAAAGAGCAGTATCGCAGCGCGGAATAAAGCCGATTTCGCGACCGCGGTTGCTATCGCGGTCGAACGCTTCATTCGATTGTATGCTAATGGCGTGCGTCGACTTGCCCAAACAATATGAACAATTTTGACAAATTTTGAAAAAATTTTGCAAATATTCGTTATTAACTGCGCGCACACAATGTGCGCCAATGAGTGTGATATTCGACCGCAATGTCGAATTATTTTCTCAGATCTTGATACGACTTCGAGCGATAGCGATGTCGTGCTCACGCGCGCGTAAAAAGTACACAAAAATATATCTTCAAATATTATACCGGATTCAATGCGAATTGCTCTGCGATACGTTCCCCTTTGAAAACCGGTTGTGCTCTTACGAAGTGGTGGTCGGTTATTACTGTAAGGTACGTAGCTTGGAACATGAACGTCACACGGATAATGTAGGTCGTGGTTTCGGGTGAAGAACACATACAGGTAAAGATTACCTATTTCATCCACGCATACTGCAATCAACATTTGTGTATGTGTATGTACGGCTGTATGTGCGCAAAGTGGTGCGTTGCGAGTGAGAGTGATAAGAGAGGAGCGACGTGATATATAAAGGTGAACTAAGATTACAGTTACCGAAGGTTTTTCTATCACTGGCGGATTTAGTTCGAGAAAGAGAGAAAGGAAGAAAGAGAAAGAGAGAGAGAGGGGGAAAGATAGTAGGATCGCTTTGGGTTTACCCTGAGCCCAGTCAGACGATACGGAGTTTTATAGACGCTTCTCGCACGCGATCGTACAAACGTAAGTACGTCGAGTCATATTTTCGTTTCTCATGATATCCTTCGCGAAGCCCGGGGCGTCATAAATCGAAGGTAAGCCATCGGCAGGCGGGGGATACGCGCGTGCCGAGAATGAGATCCGAGAACGGCCCGAGATCGAATGATCAATTCCTGACAAATAGGACTTGAATGCGCGCATAATCCGTGATGACCGTATGAGAAATCGTGGGTATATAGAAAAAGCATCGGAACGTATCAATCGAAAGGTCATGCCGTAGAAAAAGAAACTATTCCGTTACGATATATAATTAATCCGCCCGTTAACGTAGTCGTTTACCGCCCGTCACCTGGTACTGCTTTTCAACATTTCGCGCACCGCAACAACATCTAGCGACGTGAAGAAAAATGCCGACATTTTACCGCATATTTTCGTACGAAGCTAATGCAATGATCGAGCGCTTGGGAAACTATGGAAACGAGCAATTTTCTTTTGCATTATTAAAGAACGCCCGCCGTAAGTCAGCCGTAACCCGCGCGATCCAATTTATTTATCTAATGCACGGGACCGTGCATCGCGTGCACCGACACAACAAATGACAAAAAAAGTTTCCTTTTTCCCCGGCGTGTGTCCCATGGCGACTGACCTTTCACGCGCTACCAATCGCGAGAAAGATTGAACTAATTTTCTCGAGACAGGATCTTCGGGGAACTCGAAGGCGCTGCCTGAGATACCCTCGTGTGCAGGGCGATAAAGTGTCACCGTAACGATTGTTGCAGAGTGTAAGCGAGATAAAGGGGCGGTAATGGAGAGAAAGGGAGGAGGGGTGCGATACACGAAGGGCAATGTTCAACACATTTGTGCGCACGTGTGTTTAACAAAATGTGGAGAGAGAGAGAGAGAGAGAGAGAGAGAGAGAGAGACACATATATACACCCGTGCACCCACACATACACACACAAATCATTCTTTCGTGTGTGTGCGCGTGCTCGCACGTGAGTGCGTGTCTCTGTATATATACGTATATATGCGGGTAACTGTATCGTTCGTCGATTCTATTTCTACGACGGACACGGAGAAGAGGTCACGTTACAGGTGACGTGCGACGACTCGTGGTGTGTTCCAGCGGTTCATGCTTTATTATATCTTCGTACAATGCACTGTGGGGTAACAACGCCGCCGCCGCCGTCGCTGCGCTCGCCGATGCTGTCGCTGCTCTTGCCTAAAGGTGTGCGATTGAGAGGTGAGGGTGGTGGGAATCCGAGTGATGGCTTCGGAAATGCAACGGGGNGGGGGGGGGGCGAGCGGGC